ACCAGCACGGATCAGCTCCAGGCATGACGAAGCGGATAGTGTCCTCTTTTAGAAGGCCAAACAAAGTATTTTCGCTTTCACAACGAAACACACAGGATCTTCACAATATGGCGGCGGTGGCAGCAACAATAAAGTTACGCCTTCTTTCTTTGCGTGAACATTTGGGCAGTGTTATGCAAATCTTCCCACACAGTGACGTAGACATGTGGGGGCGTGTTTAAACGAGGCGTTTTTAAACGTGGACGAGTCTTAACTTTTATAAAGAATATCTCTTTGGGGCTGAGACTTTAGTCTTTGCAACTTTAGGGATCTTATCTATTCACGAACCGCTTGTAACACTCCAAAGAGAAAGGAAAACTTGAAATCGCATCATATGACCCTTTTAAGTACTTTTAAGAATGACTTAAATCCGAAAAAGTTGCAATTGTGTGATGTAAAGTTATAGCTGCAAAATATTAAGTAACAATTATGAGAAACAAAAATTGCAATCGGGAGATACAAAGTTGCAATTCTGAGAATTTAAGTTAAAATTATAGATTAATTAAGATATAAAGTTGCAATTACCTTTGTTTTGTTTTTTTACTCTGAGACAGAAACAAGCTTTTACATAAGAGCAATTTTATGTACGATTAGCACAGAAATGTTTTCTGCTCACATTTTATGAATGAGGCCCCAATGCGCATTCTTTTATTTTGATGTACTTCCTATATTTATCTGTAAGAAAAATACATTTTTTATGCCAATTTTATTTCACCTAAAATCAAATGTACATCATGTTGTCATAGTGATTTGTCATAGTGATTTTTACATTTGAGTACAGGACTTCCAAGAATGACTTATAGGCATGATCAATTATTTGTTATTTTACCTTGTGAACGTAAATAAAAATCATTGGACAAGAGGCATGTGGTGAAACACAGAATGCCCTGTTCATCTGCCATGTTTAGGCTGTACCTGTCAGTCTTTCAGTTAGATAGATGTTCAAATGAAAGGCTGCTGTCAGAGAGTTGAATTCAGGTTAAACATACCATGAAGATTTACTGTATATGCGGATACAGACTGGTAAAACGCATTTATTTCTTTTTGAAGCTCTCTGATCCTCTCCAAAGCAATGCTGTTGATAGGCATCCATCAGACATTATCAGGACTAAATAATGTAACAAGTCTTGTTACACAAATAGTATTTTGGGCTCTGAGTCTGTGTGGGAAGTTGTCGGTTTCTGGGATTGCATACCCTGGAGACAGACTCAACCAAAGCAAAGACATGGGAGTGAGAAAAGTCTGAACGGTCAATGGGTTCACGTCTATATCTACATCCACAGGCTTTTTCAAAATGTTTCCCTAAATATGGTTTAATTGCTTTATTTCTTTAAAGCTGAAGTCATTTCTGTGCCATCAGCAGCAACAAAACTTTCAACAAAATTTAATAATTAGCCAATAAACTTTAGTTTATGTTACAGCAATGTAATATGCTATTGGTGGTCAGAGGCTGGTGGTACAGTATTAAGGCACAGTCACTTTAGTAAAACTTTGGTGAGATTTCATGGGCAAAGTAGATCTATTATCTATTGTCAATAGCGTAGCAATTCATAAAGCACCACTTGCTCAGTGGTCGCTTCTAAACTAAGCAGCTTTATATTGGTAAACCCAGCAAATTGTGTGTTAAAAGTACAACAAACTTGATAATGTAGTAACTGTATCACTGAAAAAGTAAAATAAATAAATAAATGAAAGTAAATAAAATTAACTTCAAAGGAAGTCACACTTTGAGATATAAAATTGCCGTTGTGAGACAAAAAGTCACAATTGCAAGATATAGTCACATTATGGGATATAAAGTCACAAAGTTGCAATTGTATGAATACATTTACAGCTGTTAAAGTTAATATTCATTAGAAAAACTTAAAAGATTAACAAACAAGAATCCAATGTGTAATTAATGTTCACTGAATTTGGCCATACAAAGGTAAATGTGACTGTACCTCTGGTAAGAGGGACATCTTTATTGTAGACAGCATTTCATTGGATGAAAATTTGGAAACAAGTGCAAGTGACATCATTAGTATGAATAGATTTTAAATGTGTTTATTTGATGAAATATTATTTTGTATTTCTGTATTTGCTCAAACTCTGTCTTAATTAAAGTTTCAATGAAACGGAAGTAGCGGCAGATCTTTTATTCCATATTGTGACGTACATCAGTGTATATATTTTAAAAAATGAAATAGATTTTTAAATACATGGATGATTCGTTCATGTAAAATTTTTGTTTCATGCTTCTAATTTTCCCTTCTTTATCTCTGTAGGGCAAAGTCTTGTCTACACAGAATTCATGTCCTTCAGGGGCGTTCACCACCAGTGGGGAGTGCTGCAAACAATGCCAACCCGGGGAAGGGATGGTGAAGCCCTGCGGAGCGACACAGACAGTGTGTGAACCGTGTCTTGACAGTGAGTATCCACAGAGATGTTGGCCGCGGCGTTGCTAAAATGAAGCAGCTGCCTTATTTAAAATGCCATTTCCTGTGCTGAACTCTCACTTGTGGGGAGGCCGAGGGCTTTTGAGCTGTGAACGGTAATTAGTAGCTGAAGGGGAAATGCTTTTAGGAAATGAGATTGACAAAACATTGTCTGGAGAGCTTAGAGACCAATCTGAGTGTTTTCAGTGAGCTCTAAGTGAGATTAATTAAGGCAAAATCCAGTGGTACATGCACTTGTTGTACTGGCAGGGTCACGTAACAGAGTGTTTGTACCAAGATTTGGGGATTAGATTTTTTTATTTACAGAGGTTGGTTCTGCGCCAACTCTTAGGCCAGAGCCTGCCAGAATCCCACCACTTCCAAGAATCCCACCATCTCCCCCATGTCTGCTTGCATGACCCAGCTGAACAAGACAAGATAGGAGAAGAGAGATAAATGGAAATAGAGGACAAGTAATCAGAATTGTGACCAAAAATAGTCATCCTTTAGTACATACAGTATTTATGTAGAGTTTCATGCTCCCTTAAACAACAAAATAAATAAATTAATTAATAATTATAAAAAATTAAATATAATAAATTATATGTGTGTATGTGTAATATTAAATAGCACACTACAATTAAATCCAAAATCTTTATATGTGCTTTACTATGTAAGTCAATACAACACAACACAACTTTCTTTAAAGTATGACAAAAGATTATTAAAGCATAAAAACTCTTAAGGTAATTTAATTCGATATATTATAAAGTGCACTTTTTAAAAGTGTACCTAAATGTGTTAAATATAGTCATAATTTAATTGTCACGGTGACTACTGAGTAGGAGCGAAGGAGCGCAGAGACGAAGGAGAGTTACGAATAACAGTCTTTAATGATCCAAACAGGGGGTAACACAGGGCAGGCAGGAACACACACGTAGCATCGATGACAAACCCGGACAAAGGAACGGAAAACACTTTAAATACAAGACTAAACGAGGGAAGATGACGAGACACACCTGAACCGAATGAACACAATCAAACAAGGGAGAAAACTAGGCCACGGAGCACATGGGGAGAAAAACACACACAAAGTCCAGGGGTGTGACAATTCGCCCCCCTCCCAGAAGGCGCGTCCTCGCGCCACAGGAACAACAAAGGGAGGGATGGAGGGGAACTCAGGAGGAGGTTCGGGTGGAGGACGGACACCCGGGAGGAGGACGGCAAACAGAGTCCAGGGTGGAGACGACGGAGGGAGGAGACAGGAGGAGCCAGGGTGGACCAGATGGAGGGAGGAGACAGGGAGGAGACAGGAGGAGCCAGGGCGAACCAGATGGATGGAGAACCTGGGAGGAGACAGGAGGAACTTGGAGCAGGCGGAGCCAGGCGAGACCCAGGCCACAGCCATGCAGGCGACCCACGGTGGAGCCGACGGAGGGAGGAGCCATGGTGGAGGAAGGGCTGACGACTCCAGGGGACCGATCGACGGCGGCGGAGCAGGTGGAGGAGCCCGAGGCAGAGACGGACAGCCAATGAGCCAGGGCAATGGGGAGGATCCAGAGGGCCAAGGCGGAGCAGACGACTCAGGCGACCAAGGTGGAGGAGGAGCCGAAGGGAAGGAGGAGCCTGACAGAGCCAGAGGGATGGGCGGAGCTCCTCTCCGCGCTCTCGCTGTCCACAGCTTTTTCCCTCGTGGCGGGTGTTGTGGCCGGCTCTTGCACCTGGTCTGACGTCACTAGCAGCTCCGGCTCCGCGGCGATCCTCAGCTGTGTCGCTCTGTGCGGCGATGGCTCGTCGGTCACGGCGAGATCGGGCTCTCCATCATTGGTGGGCTCGGGCTTGCGCTCCGCGCAGCGGGGTGATGGGGGGCTGGGCTCTGGGTCTGGCTGTGCTCTGGATCGGGGCCGGACACTCTCCAGACACCGGATGATCGTCTCCCTCCAGTTCAGTCCAGTGGTGTCTGGGAGGTCAACAAGGCGATGGTAATTTGCCCCGATCCAGAACAGTGAGTTCAGCGCAGCATCGTCAAATGCCGTTAAAACGGCGAGCTGGCTGATCTCAACCACATACTCCAAGAGGGACAGGTCCTTACGGGCTAGGGAGACGAACAAAGCGGCAAGGGGATCCAGAGGGAAAAACAAAACACTGTGCAAAACTCGGAAAACAAACGGAGGGGAAACATGCAAATAAACTATTTTGTAGGTCCGGTGTTCTGTCATGGTGACTACTGTGTAGAAGCGAAGGAGCGCAGAGACGAGGGAGAGTCACGAATAACAGTCTTTAATGATCCAAACAGGGGGTAACAAAGGGCAGGCAGGAACACACATGTAGCACGTAGCATCGATGAAACCGGACAAAGGAACGGACAACACTTTAAATACAAGACTAAACGAGGGAAGATGATGAGACACACCTGAACTGAATGAACACAATCAAACAAGGGAGAAAACTAGGTCACGGAGCACATGGGGAGAAAAACACACACAAACAGTCCAGGGGTCTGACATTAATAGATCTTTCATAGCTCAGAATCTTGTTTCATTTATGTATGGATAACTACAATGTAGTAAAAGGCCCAAAATTAGGCCCAAAAGTCAAATAACAATTCAGAATTTATTTTTTTCATTTAAACATGTTTTGCATAATCATACGTAAAATATTTTTACATAAACAGAAATATATAGTGTTTTGACACATTTTAAAGTTATGTCAAAAAGACAATATAAAAAGACGTATCTAATTTGGCACATTTATCATGCGGCTCTCTGGACATTCTGCAATTCTTGTTTTTTTTAAATGAAACTTTTCACACAAATTGTTATGCTGATTATATATTTTTGTAAATGCTGTATTAAATTTGAATAAAAAATGGAATGCAATCAGACATTTGGACTGCTGTATGAATGTTGAATGTTTCTTCTAAAATGCATTAGGAGAAATAAGAACAGACACTAATGACACTTGTTAACATACATTAAGAGTATAGAGCTATAAAATTATTATGGATAGCATAACTCAGATCATCTGGTCTGAAATGAGAATGAGAACATTTTGAGAAATTATTGAGATACTCTAGAGGAGAGACAATTGAGGCTACTGAGGTCTTTTTCTCAGGAGTAGGAGACTTCAGGAAAATCTCTACTTGCTGTGCATCTACTGATGTCTAGGAGATATTAAAGAGATTTCATTTGTGAATTATTTCATATAGAATAATATTGTATAAATGTACATTCAACATATTAATCACACAAACAGATAACTTAAAATGACCTACTCTTGAGTTCTGTGCATATTAGTTTTTTGTTAATATTTAGTAGCCTTGGGTGAAGGTCACAGAAAGGCATGTCCACCAAGACCTCCTGTCATTCACTACAACCCCAAACATTCTTCCTTCTGTAATTCCCATCTCTTCGTCAGGCCTTCCCTAAGGGCCTGTGCTGGGATCTGCGTTCCTCATCAATCAACTTAACCATTACATGCTGAAAACCCCAAACTGTTCCTTTCACAGCCTCATAAGTCACCAAATGCTGCTTGACAGCACTTCAGCGATAAAGTGTTGACATGTAAAAGTAGCATTTGGGATGGTACTGGAATGAAAACAGCTGTTTAAGAAGTGATAATTTAAGTTAACTGGCTCATATTAATTCCTGACACATAAGCGCTTTGTAATGTCAAAGAACCAGGTGTGTATATTCACCAGTCAACTCCACAATTGACCTCCTCTATCAAAGGGGGGAAGAAAATTAAGTGTCCTGACAAGCCCAACACAGCAACATTGGCTTAACCAATGATGTGAGTTTGGGATATAACTATCAGCACAACAGCACAATAACAGTATTTACAGTGTTTATAGGTGAGTGTGTACAGCGGATGACTCCACCCAGATATCTACCGGTTAACGTTAGCTACCGCCTGTAGCCCGCAGAGAGATTGTGAAGTTTACCTTCATTTGCCTAATGTTTACTTGCAGTTGTCACTACAGGCTCCCATCATTGGACTGTAGATGAATTCATGACTCTTTAGCTTCAGTATTTAGCAAACTTGTATTGATCATTCAGTGTCTAATGCTCTGATACAATGATTTTACAGCGTAAAAGGTAAACACTATCATAGTTTAGTTTAATAAGATAAGACATTTAAGATTAAAGTATATTTTGGGTACACTTGTGAAAAATAAGTTTACTTAATTGTGCTGAATATACACTTAAGAGTACTTCAAATCTTAAAAGTATATTTTAAAAATTGTACTTAAAGATAATATAATATTACTGAAATAAAGGGCCACTTAAGTGTACTTAGAGTACTACACTTTCATGAATATGTTTCTTAACACACTTAAGTACACTTTTAAAATTAATGTCATGTCAAATTAAACGTTTTACGTTACAGTATATTTTAAAGGGGTCATATGATGCGATTTCAAGTTTTCCTTTCTCTTTGGAGTGTTACAAGCTGTTGGTGCATAGATAAGATCCCTGAAGTTGCAAAGACTAAAGTCTCAAAACCAACGAGATATTCTTTATCAAAGTTAAGACTCTGCCACGCCCCCCTAAAACGGCTCGTTCTAACACACCCCCACAATATCTACGTCACTATGTGGAAATATTAGCATAATGCCGCCCAAATGTGCACGCAAAGAAAGAAGGCGTGGCAGTTAGTGTTGAAGCAGCCATGTCAGAGAGACGCTGTGTGTTTCTAGGCGAAAGCAAAAGCACTATATTTGGCCTTCCGAAAGTAGATGCATTAAGATTACTTACAACAGAACAGCAATGCATTTTATGGACGACCGTTTCATGAACCTAGGAGAGGAGGTAATTCTGACTTTGCTATGACAATCTGGCGCTTCTGAATCAGCTACTGTAAGTATGTTTTGTTATTAGTTTAAGTATTTGCAATTGACTGTTCAAATGCGGAGTTTTACGCATCGTGTGTGTGTGTGTGTGCAAGTGAGCGAGAGAGAGAGAGCGAGACACATCACAGTGGAGTCAGCCGTCTTAACCGTGGCTTGTGTACTGCAAACACATACCAGCTTCATCACTGTGTCTGTCACGCGACTCTGTTCCCCTTTCGGGCTCTGTCTTTACATTTATTTTGAAAGATGAAGCTCGCGATTATGGTAAGGGGCGTTACATTTCCGACGAGTGCTTGCGGTGTTCGGCCAATCACAATGCACTGGGTCAGCTGGCCAATCAGAGCAGACTGCGCTTGTCAGAAGGAGGGACTTTGTAGAAAACGAAGCGTTTGAGAGAGGCGGGGCATAGAGGACCTACAATAATGTACAGTATTTGAAAAATAATGTGTTTTTTGAACATTAAAGCATGTCAACATATTCTGTTACACCAAATACACAAAATAATGATCTTTAAAAAAGCATCATATGACCCCTTTAAATCTTTGTATTTTAATAATCTTTTGTCATTCTTTAAAGAAGTGCACTTATTTTGATGTGCTGACTGAAGTACTTGATTATAAGCTTAACTGTAGTGTGTTATACAATATTACGTTAAAAGGTCATATAAATTAAATGTACTAAATTGCAACGTAATATTTAGAAATGTGTAAATATAAACACTCAACAATCTCAAATAATGTAACTAACTGCATTTAATATAAATTTAAACTGTAATACATTTTCATTTAATTGCAAATAACTTGCAAATCAGTGTCCAAAAACATTATGTTGAGTTTGCATTTGAATATATTCTCTTAAAGTATAGTATATAGCAAGTACTCATTTTCTAAGTATGTTAAAGTGTACTTCTACTTAGTAGTAGTTTGGTAGTAGGTAGTTTGGGTTATAGGTGTGCGGAAACTGGTCAGCTGAATTGAAAAAGCTAGCTTGGTGAAGGAGTAAATGTTAAAGTTGTACATGTTTGGTAACTATATGAATTCTAATCTGAACACACTTTTTTAAATGTTAAACTTTGAGTTTGTTTGTATCACATCATAGTAATTTGTAGATCTTGCAATGAATGAAGCTATTGTTTCTATTCGCTGAACAGTAAATTTGGCGCATTAACACATCAATTTAATGAAAGTACACAAATTCTCTCAATGAATATGAGTTCATACAAGCTGCTTGCATAATAATATAATATGTTATATTAATAATCAATATTTTTAAATGAAGAATATCATGTCACCTCAGGACATGTCAACTTTCATTATTAATCTAATATGTCAGCCAGGCTGATGTCAGGTCATATTTGGACATGATTGGCATTGGTCAATAACTGTGCTCAGTTCACATAAGTTTTCATTGCATCCAGTGTCAGTTCCAAAGTCTACCAACTGCCTTTTTCATGAGTGATGCAATTTTTCAAATGTTTATAGTAAATTTTGAGTAAATATTGTGTACAAGTTAATTCAGAAGTTTTGCATGGTAACATCTAAATTAACTGATTTTATTCAAGTCAAAAATATTTAAAATTACAGAATCAATCTAAACACATCCGGTTATAACCATCAAAACTCATTTTATGGGTGAGATCAAGTACAAACAGCTCTTTAAGCTAATCATTTATATTTTGGCTTTATACTGGCCATTTGCCAATGTCTTCAAATATCTGTATCGCATCAGCCATTAATAGCCCACATCAGCTGAACACTATATGTGTTCTGTCTCATATCTGTTGTTTTGAATCTGAAGACATGAGTATTATCAGCCGTATTTGTTACTTAGTTCTCTAGTAGTTCATACTAAAATAGTGAATTATGTACTGCAGGGCTGGTGTCCTTTTTTTGGAACTGGTAAACAGAAGCTATTGACAGAATGTTACCTCAGCACTTTATAGTCCTAATGTTAATTGACACATAAACTCCATGACTTGTACGGTTGAGAACACCCCCACACATTGGCCGTCTGTCATAATGCATAGACATGCATTATTGATGGCTATTGATGGCATTATGCTAATGGTTCTCAAAGGGTAGAGATCAGGAGAAGAGTAGACTCAGAGGGAGAAAGACTGAGTGGACAGAATTTCATCTGCAGGAAATACACAGACTACCCACCACAGTCTCCTAAATAAAGCCCCAATAACTGGCCCCCAGATGCCACCACATTACCCCGTTATCATTGGGGCCATTAGTAGCTCCAGCACACAGGGGAACCCATAATGTGCAACTCTATTTGTCCAGCACAAAGACACAATGGCGTTTCATCCTCTCTGATGGGTAGATGTAAAGATAACTATGGCATTAGCGTGTTATCTTTCTCTGGTCACTGCTTCCGTGAATATCCTACCTCTGGCATATACTGAAACACTTGATATGGTTTGGGACACTGAGGCGATGTGCCCTAAAGAGGGGCTAGCCACAAGAGTTGTGCTGTCTCACAAACACACACACATATACACGGACAAAATAGCTTCCTGAATAATTTAGTGAAAGCTAGACCTCTATCCACTAATATATCTGAATAGGATGGAGGATGGGAATACAATACCATAAGCATGCATCATTAGATATTTGCTCTCCACTCTGTGCAATACTGACATCATAATTTCTTCTAGCTTCTTGAAGATTCTAGATATCTATGAGAATACATGTGGTCAAAATATGACTCATGACTTTGTTTTACTCTTTTTCCTAAAACTAAGAAAGTATTTTTTAATATGGCCCATTTTCAGGAAGCTGTGTCATTCTATGAAATGGCGCTATTTAGTATTTCAGAAAGCAGATTTAGAAATCATATTTTCTACTAACTGTCTATTAACTGCTAGGTCCATAACTGCCATAGATATTGGAGGCCACTAATATTCAGATTAGCAATCAACATTTATGGTTTTCCCCCCTCAATTCTATAGTTGTGGCTGCATGCATCCATGCAAGGTACCAATATTATTACATTATTACTGGCCAAACCCTAAACGTTACATTATTTAACGCTTTCAGAGTAGTTTTGGAATTTATAAAATGTAATATTGGTTTCATAATCAATCACACATCATATTTTGAAAAAATATTTATCTTCCAAATCTTTTAACCTTGTAACATTCAAAATGTTTTGCAGCTGATGGTAATGGGGTTGAAGGTGAATGCAAATTTGGCTAATAACATCTGAGCCTATAAATATCATAAAACTGATAAATGTAATTTTTATCCTATAACATCCCATGAGCTGAAATGTTGATATTTACAAAGCTAATGTAAGTGATGTCAAGCACATCTTACCAGCAATCATACACTCATTCACATCCTTCTTTCCACTCTCTGAAAAAGAAGTCTCCAAACATCCTTTCCAATCATCCTACTACTTGTCCACTTGATCCTATTCCATCTCATATCTTTCAAGCTATTTCTCCTGCCTTGGTTCCTGCACTCACTTACATCATTAACACATCCCTTCACACTGGTGTTTTCCCCTCAGCATTTAAACACGCTCGTATAACCCCACTACTACCCACTCTTAACCCAGCTCTTTTAGAGATCTACAGACCGGTTTCCCTTCCTCCTTTCATTGCGAAAACATTTGAACGAGTTGTGTTCAACCAAGTCTCTGCCTATGTCACATAGAAAAACCTCCTGGACAGCAACCAGTCTGGCTTTCGAAGTGGACATTCAACCGAGACTGCCTTGCTCTCATTTGTTGAAGTCCTAAGACTGGCAAGAGCGGCTTCCAAATCTTCAATACTTATCTTGCTGATGCTGTCCGCTGCTTTTGACACGGTTAACCATCAGATCCTCCTGTCAACCCTATTGGCAAAGGGCATCTCAGGAACCACACTCCATATCACTGCTACTGATGACACTCAACTCTCTCATTCCATCCTGATGATCCGACGATAGCTGCTCGCATCTCAGCATGTCTAACAGACATTTCTGGCTGGATGAAGGATCATCACCTTCAACTCAACCTTGCCAAGACAGAACTGCTTGTGGTTTCAACAAACCCATCACTTCATCACAATCTTACCATCCAGTTAGGCACATCAACCATAAATTCTTGAAGCATCTTGAAGATGCAAACTCAGTTTGTTCTGTTTCTTCATGTCATTCCAGGCAGACTGGACGATGATGAGATCAGATCTCTGTGTGGAGCACTGGCTGTTGTCAGACTCCTTGTGCAAACAAAAATCTTTAATACAATTAATGGCAAAATGAATGTTTGGAAATGTAAACTGATATTTCCTACTGGCACACTACAGCAAAAGATAGAAATAACTGACTTAAACCCATTTTTTAGCTGGTGAAAATACTAGTGTTCTAATAATTTTGGCCATCACTGTATATTTTTTACACTTGTGTATATAACAGGGTTGACATGAACTATTTTAGTATCATTAATATACTATGATCTTTTCTCCTTCTGTCTTCAGGCGAGACATTTTCAGAGAACTTCAGCCACACGGAGCAGTGCCAGCCGTGTACACCATGTTCTGAACTCACACGCATGCTGACGCCCTGCACTGATGCCAACGACGCGGTGTGTGTCTGCGACTATGGGTTCTTCTTCAGCAAAGTGACGAGCCGCTGTGAGGCCTGCACGGTGTGCCCTGTGGGCCAGGGTGTGCTGATGCGCTGTAATTTTGACCTTGACACGGTGTGCGAGGAGTGCGTGGATGACACGTATTCAGATCAGGAGACCTCTTTTGACCCCTGCATGCCCTGCGCCGTCTGTGATCAGCCTGAGATGGAGTTGAAAAGCTGCACGCCTTTCAGTGACGCTGTCTGCCAAGGTAAGAGAATCGAGTACAAAAATCAAATAGAAGTTGTAAATAGGTGGGTTATCATGACACAGTGGGACAAACAGATTTTTGTTACTCAACTTCTTGTTTGGTTTTAAAATCACTGGCCAAGAAATTGCCCTGTGTGTTGGCCCTCTACAACTCTGTTCTCTGGAGATGACAGTTGAAGACAAGTTAATTATGACAATTAGATTTTTAAATAACCACTACAATACTAGTGAACTGGTTTTTATTTATTTATTTATTTTGTGTGTGTGTTGCTGAGTGGTTGCTAGGGGTTCTGGGTGGTTGCTAAGGCAGTTCTAGGTGGTCAGTAACTTTCTACCACCATTTTACATGCTGTATTGATGAAAATTGATTTTTCACTTTCTTAATGCATTATCATAAATGTTCTCCATGTCTGTAAAGAATTCACAGCACCAGTGCTTCTAAAACTTTGTTGTATATTCAATATTTGGTATTTCAGGAGCTTGTGTCAAAACAAAAAAGATTTCACATGCTGTATTTATCTTGATAAATCTTTATATGTTTAATACTTTTTCATAGTTATAGTTTATAGTTGTATTTACTAACTGTTTATGATTTTTACTGTTTTTGATAGAAGTCTCTTATGCTCACCAAAGCTGCATTTTTTTTTTTAAATATACAGTAAAAACAGTAACTGTGAAATACTGTTACATCTTCATCAATGTTAAAAACCAGGTAATCTACCATTCAAAAGTTTATAGTATGTTTTTTTTTTGTAAGAAATCACTATTATTCATCAAGGGTGCATTAAATTGAGGGTTCATATTTATATTTGTTAAAAGTTAAAATTAAATAAGACTGACTCAAATAATAAAACATAAAAATATTTATATAAAGGTTATTTATGTCAAAAACAAAAAGAAAACTATGGCAAAAATAAATAAATAAATAATATATATATATATATATATACAGTATTTGTAAATGATCAGATTTCCATTTTTGTCTTAATTATTTTAAATGATAATTTGTTGACATTGTTTTAAAATATTATGCCAAATGGCTTAGCCCTTCATACTGTCACGCCCCTGGACTGTCTTTGTGTTTTCCCTCCCCATGTGCTCCGTGACCCAGTTTCTCCCCTGTGGAGAGACCTAAAAATGGCTGTCCACCAACGTTTATCATCCAACCTGACAGAACTGGAGAGGATGTGCAAGGAGGAATGGCAGAGGATCCCCAAATCGAGGTGTGAAAAACTTGTTGCATCTTTCCCAAAGACTCATGGCTGTATTAGATCAAAAGGGTGCTTCTGCTAAATACTGAGCAAAGGGTCTGAATACTTAGGACCATGTGATATTTCAGTTTTTGTTTTTTAATAAATCTGCAAAAATGTCAACAATTCTGTGTTTTTCTGTCAATATGGGGTGCTGTGTGTACATTAATGAGGAAAAAAAATTAACTTAAATGATTTTAGCAAATGGCTGCAATATAACAAAGAGTGAAAAATTTAAGGGGGTCTGAATACTTTCCGTACCCACTGTATATATATATAAATAAATAAAAATGTATAAGACAGTTCAGCCTATGATTGCACGTGCTGGATAAATTAATGAATGAGATTTGCTAATGATCATTATGTCATTCTCAGTTCACTGTTGTGTTTGTGTGTAGATGTGGTATGTGGTATGACAAACAGAAAAGCAGTATGATTTAAAACTGAGAAAGCCCAAAACACTTCAACTTTTTGTGTGCCCAGCTCACTGAACTCTCTGTATAATGTCAGATGCTCTTGGCATAGCCGGAAGCTTAATATTTGCCATCTTATTACTGAGCTGAACTTAGCTGTGAATAAAATTAACAGTATCTTGAGCAAAGGATCACATTCAAAGATCTGCAGTCAACATTACAGGCTTTGTTCTGTGTCTGGCCGCAAACACGGTTTCAGAAGAGGATCAGAGAAAGAGGCTTTGTACACAGCCCAAGTTCTGCTATCAAAGGAAACCATACTAAGTGCAGCAGGGTCCATAAATGGATTTTCAATGTACTTTCTTAATGTATTCTCATTATGGCATTACACAGACAATATATGATGTAATGAATTTTAAGCATTCTGTGCAATGTGTGTGTGTATAGAAATAGACAGCATCTGTAAAATGAAAAAATTGCAAATCTTATCACTTAGGAAAATAATACATCAGTTCCACACAATTTGAGACATTAGCATATCAGTACAAAATCATCCTCCAAACTCGTTCCTCACTAAGTTTTAATACTTCAAACTTACAGGGCAAAGTTTCTTAAAATCCATAAAATTAAGTATAACCCATAAACTTAGCAAAAATCTAAATTTGGCAAAAACTCACCACCACTTCAGTTCAGTTATTTCTAATTTGTTTGAATATGCGTGTTTCTGGATTGTCTTTGACACATAATTGTCTTAAACAAAGATTATTATTGCCATTGTCAATAGCTAATCAGCAAATATTAAACAGTGATATTCTGGTTTGGGTCAGTTTGTACATGACAGCCGAGACATGCGTGTGTGTAAGTGATGTTTATCTGTTAATGATCAACGTAAGATTTTCTCTGACCCCGTCTGACCTTTTGCTGGGGTCTTAACATGAAGGTGAGAGGTCATAGGTCATGGGTGGCTACTGATTTCAGTTCGTCCTGGGTTCTATAAACATGGAAATCTCCAGAAGAAAGTAAATCAAATGTGGTGTTCTCTGCAACAAGGAAGTGAGGTGTCTGTTTCAGATAAAGAATGTTCTTATGTATCAGGAATTTACCAGATTAAATGATAAAATTATCTAAGGGTGTTTTCACACCTGAGTCCTTTTTAAAAGAACCAAACTTGAAGTGGACCAAGCAGTGAACCAAGTGAAAAAGGACCCAGATATCTTTATGTTCACACTGTCCCTTCCCCCGAAAGAGGACTTAAACCTTTTTTTGGTCAGTTTAAGCACTAATATGGTTTCAGGCCTCTTTTAATCCACTTACTGTTTCTTTTTGGAACAAGTCCACTTCAGTGCTGTGTGATGTGGGTACAGCAATACTATGCAAGATGGCTGACTTAAACCCACCACACTTTGGCCCCATTCACTTCCACTGTAAAACCCCTAACTGCCACCAATCAGAAAAGGTACTGACAGTTTTCTGCCAGAACATTTTCCGTTCAGTTTATGGACAAGTTAAGGTTTACTTGAACCCTAAAACACAACACAATGCAATGCAATGCAGTGCACAAAGTTCACAAGTTTATAAGGGTCTGAGATCATTTGGAGTGTTCACATTTGATCCAAAAATCCTGCAAATTGCACTTAGACCCTTGAAAAGTGTGAAAAAACCTAGATCAGATTCAGATTTGAGACATTAGTTGTGTTTCTCCTGCTCTAATGGGAAATTAGTCATGTGTGGGAACAGGCAGCATGAAAATGGCGTGTAATTTCATTAAAAAGCATGAAGCTGTGTTGGTGTGTGGTGTGTCAAAGAGCCCCATCAATCTCACCATACCCGGGAGAATCTGTCACATTTCATGTCACAGGTCACATTTCACCCGCAATCAAAAAGAAAAAATATTTTGACAAAGAAACCAAAGCCTTGTTACTGTTTTTATAACATCAGGATGTTGTACTTTTATTTTTTATTTTTTTGATGATTCTCATTAATCTCATTACTGGTGTACAATTCTTAGCATCAGTATAAATGCAACACCACAAATGCTATCATGATGAATAATATAATATACATAGTGAATATGATTTTTTATGAAAATATGAACATTATAGTAATGACAGTTTTTGTTATGTATTTGTAATGATATTGTATAAATAATGTCAGAACTTTAGAATTGAAATCAACGGTAAAGAAAAAAAAAGAAAAAACTAATAAACTGATGCAAGAGAATAAAAATTAATTCACAAAAAATTATAAATTAAAATTATAATTTATACAGTTACACTTTTAACATTATACATTTAAAACAAGAAAAATCAGTGAATATTTTATATTATGGTTCGCCTGCTGTAATGTTTCTTTCTTGTCAGTGATTTCACTTGCCATCATCTCACTTTAAGTTAATCTGTAAAAACACAAATAATTTAATAACACTGTTGAAGGTGATTATCATTTGATTCACATTACTGTAATACAGTTATTTTGAATAAGTATAAAGGCAATACTACAGATACAACATGATGTATAATGTACAGAAATTTCTCACATTACTGTAATGTCAATTTTTGCATTGTGGAAATAGGCTTAATTGTCTTAAAAAAAATGTGAAAACAAGTCTTAAGGGAAAACAAATAAAAAACTTGACTAAACTAAAGCAAGACATTAAGAATATTTTTTAAAAATGAATCATTTAAATACATTTTGTATACTTTTTTGATAGAATTATGAGGTATTATGACCTCAAGACTTAAAACTTTAAAAATGAAACTTCATAGTTCAATTTTCTTGTGATTGATTATTTGTAAGTGGCCATGAGACAGTGGAGGGCTTTTTTCAACAGTGAATGTGTGGAAGCACATAAAAGAGCTTTATTGGTCAATATCCCTCCCATCCAAACCTAAAGATTTATCATCACCCATATTGACTCTTTAACTTTGACCTCTCTTTCTGCCGAGTACAATGTATGCCTTGAAACTGAGACGCCTGTCTGTACTGGACAGAAATAATCAATCTTTCCCTCTGTTTGCCCCACTCTCCCCATCCTACGACAATGAAGTGTGTCCATTCATGACAACTGCTCATCCCCCAGCTGTCTGCACTTGTCTGGCATGTGCCCTATGACATTAGTGGATGGAGCGATGAGCTGTTTTCTGGGGTAACGTAACGCTTTGCCCTGATGTGAGGGTTCGGGGTGATGATCCGGCGTGTGCCTGAGCTTGTGTCACCCCATATGAAGCCAGTTTCTGCCTAATGAATTTCTGAAATTTTTAGCCAGTGGTTTTGTCCTGCTCTCCTTCTGGGATATAGCTGTGATTGTGGCTGTATTTACATCATTGAAATTCCAAGAT